TCTCTAGTTACCTTTAGGATTCTGAATGATCTTCTGCTTCCTCCTGCACATCCCCTACTGGGGATTAGCCTGCAACTGAGGCACGTGCCCTTGACCGGAACCGAACCTGGGACCCTTCAGCCTGCAGGCCAACGCTCTATCCGCTGAGCCAAATCAGCTAGGGCAAAAAAATATATATTTTTTAGAGTGGGAAGGAGGCAACTGTCCCCCTCTTCTGCTTAAATGTCTAAATAAACTCCTCAGGAGTCAGGAGAGCTCCTTGCACATCTTGGCTTTCATGACAAGTCTCCAGCTCTGGACTTATCTCCAAGCCCTGGGGCTCATTTCTCCTGGAATGCTTAAAGATCTTGCGTGGTCCACGCTGGCCTGATTAGGAAGCTACTCCAGGCCTCCTGGCACCTTGGGGCTTAGCCTAGGAACTTTGTTCAAACTGAATCACTTGGGCCCCTCAGAAAGAGATAAGAGTTTTACAATTTTTTTGAATCGGAGCAATTACCTGTACAAATGACTCCAGACTGAATCTCCTGATATGTGAGCAGTCTCAAGGGCCTAAGGCTTTCTCCCAGGATCCAGAGAAGTCTGATTCCCCCACTGTGTCTCTGAGTCTCTGATTGTCTCTCTGCCACTTTTGATGGCTCGGATTGGCCTGGGGTTGGCAAACGGGAGGGGGGTAAAGGTAAGAGCACACCTGGAGCTGGACTCTGAAACCACAAGCCACTTCACTTTGGCTCAGAAAGTCAACATCCCGAAGGTAGACCTCACCTGGAGTTCTCATCCCTGCCAGGCTGGGGCTGAAAGAGTGGGAACCCAGGACAGGGAGGAGACAGCGACTCATTCCCTTTCCGTAGATGAGCCCGGTCTGACCTCTGACCGTGGGAAGGGACATGGATTGTCTACAACAGATTAGAGGCCGAGAAGGGGCCAGGGATCATGTCTAGCGGAGGAGAGGAGGACAAGTGTCGCTGACCCTAAGACAGGGCGGGGGCCCAGAGCTCCGAGGCTGCAGGTGTTAGCCTGTCCTAAGGGAGAGCATCCCAAGAGCCGGAGTGGCAAGTGCAGCGGGAGATGAGAGCCCCTTGTATTGGAAACATGCAGAGGAAGCCAGAACTCCCCAAGCAGGGCCGCTGCAGAAGCAGGTCCTGAATGCTGACACCACGAGCTCAGGAAAATCGCCTCCCTCTCTGGGCTTCAGCATCTTCAGCTACAATATAAGGATAAGGAGGATAAGAACACCAGCCCTGTAGCCTCATCATGAGAATTCAACTAGACAATATAGGTAAACACCAGGGGGTGTGCTGGCACCAAAGGGCTTAGGAAGGGCTAGGTTAAAACTTGACTCTGCTCTTTCCTTGTTGTGTGACCTTGGGCAAGTTATTTAACATGATTTACTCACCTGTAAAATGAGGGTTATTTAAAGATCAGAGCATTGGATTGTTATGAAGATTCAACAAGCTAATTCATGTAAAGCACTTAGAACCATGCCAGGCCCACAGAAAATGTTCACTAAATGTTGGCAATTGATATCATTACAATTATTACTAATTATTCCAATGAATCTTCCCTGCATCATCCCCAAATTGAGAAACTGAGGCTCAGAAACTTCAATAATGACAAGGGCACCTACTATATGTCAGGCCTGTTCCAAACACTTCACAATTCTTCATCCATTTATAACCTCCTAAATCCAGTTGTAACCTTGTAATAACCTCGTCATTATTCCTATCTGACAGGGAGGCCATGAGGCACAAAGAGATTAAGTGACTTGCCCAATTCCTGGAAGTCTATGGGCCCTCTGGACCCAGGAGGCGCAATCTGGCTCCAGCAACCAAAGGGTTACTTTGTTGGGTGGAGGGTCACATCCAGGAACCAACTTACCGCCAACTGCTCTGGCTCTAATCCAGGGGGCAAGGGTGGGCCAAGAGGTAAGACTAGGAGGTTCTTTTCTGCCAGGGGTCAAAGCTCAGAGCTCTGAGACTTCCCCCAGAAAAGGGGGTCAAGGTAGAAGCGATTACCATGGATTCCCAGAGAGCTGCCCAAGCCTCCTATTTCCCATCCCCCCAAGGCAAACCACCCTGGCAGTCACCAGGAATGAGCAGGCTCTACCTCTACCTCTACCTGCCTGGGGGACCCTGGGCAACTTACAGTCCTTTTCAATGAGGTGAGCCTATTCATGACACAGCATGCAGAGCCCAGAGAGGGGCTGTGACCTCCCTACGGCACACAGCTAAGAGGCCGAGGGTCTGGGAATCAAATGTGAGTGGGTCTGACACCGCTTCTCTCCTGCTCGTCCCACTGTTCCGCAGTCTTCGAAGAGGAGGAAGTTTCTGTTAGCATTACTGTTACTGCAATGCCTGCCCTCCTGAGGGTGTGGACAGTCCGGAGGAGGCATAAATTCCCTTATACATAACTCTCCAAGCAATTTGTCAATTTTTGAGGACAGACATGGAACTTTAAAATGGTGGCTGGCATCTGGGCCTAGGAGTCAGATGGGCATGAGTTCAACCTATTTTCTCAGGTGTTACCAGTGTAGGCTTCCAGGGTAATTTCTGAAAACCTCAGTTTTCTCCTCTGGAAGGTGGGCTAAATACACATGCCTCAGAGGGTTATTGGGAGAATTCAATGAGATTAGGAATGTTACATGCTTAGCACAGTGCCCGGGACATAGTACATTAAAGAAATGAATGCTGTTGTTACTACTATTTGTCTTTCACCAGCACTTATCATGGGGTTGGGCATCTAGTAGATCCTTAATGCCTGTTTTTAGAATAATATAGATTCTTCCCAAACCTGGGGCCTCCTGAGTTCAGTGCCTACGATGTTCTCCTAGAGCACAGGCACTCAAGCAGCACCACTTGCTCCCACTGAGTTCCAGCCTGAAACCACTGCAGCAGTGAGGCTTCCAGTTCTAGGAGAGGAACGGCTGAGTGTCCCGGGCCCCTTGTCCCTTTGCCTCCTTGCGACATCACACCAAAGTGCTGGCATTTGCTCTGAGGCGATGTCAGGTGAAAAGCACAACCAGGTTCTCCTATGTGTATGAGCAGGAAGGTGACTGGGGTTGGATGCCAGGGACAAGCTGAGCCCAAAAAGAAGGCTCCTGGGTGGTGATACGCAGGGATAAGGGAAGAGGCACAGTGTCCCTTATCTAATCTTAAGGGTCAGGACTCATGAAACTCACATTCTGATGAATTGAGATGAATGCCAAATAAATAAACAAACAAATGGATGAGCAATATGTCAGGATCACATCACTAGAAGGAATGGTGACTGTTACAGCGCCGCTGAAAGGGATAAAAGGAGTCCCAGTACCCGACTAGGAACAAGAGCCAGAATTCCAACTGGGACCGCACGGCTTCAAGGCCACAGTCCTTCAGCTCCTGGGAGCTGCGAGGCACCCCTTCCAGTTACTGGTACCCTCCCTTGAGGGTACCATAGACCCATTCGCTCATTGTTGATTCCACGAAGATTTACTGAGCACTTACTACAAGCCAGGAACTGTTCTGGATGCTGTAGCTGTAACAATGATGTGGACAGGCATGATGTGAGGCTAGGAAGACTGGTACTAAACACACACACCGAGTTGGTGCAATGTAGCCACGATTGCTATGAGAGCTACAGGTAAGGAGCAGGTCCTATGAACTACTCTGGGAGGCATTCTAAACCTGGTCTCCCTGAGAAGGTGACATTTAACTTGAGACCTAAAGTCTCAAGAGCTTATCAGGCAATGAGTGAGGGAACAGATTCCCATGTTGAGGGAGCAGCATGTGCAAAGGCTGAAAAGCAGCAGAGGCGCCTGGCACATCTGAGGAACTGAGAAGCCAGGGTGGTTGGAACTGAGCTGGAGGGAGAACAGGATGTGGTGCAAGACGAGGCTGTGAGATCCACAGGGCCAGACCAACCGCGCCTTCCCAGCCGTGTGAAGAGCAAGCGAAGGGTTCTGGGCATAGCTTGGCCTCCAATCCCCAAGCTTTCACCTGCTCATCTGGGGCAAACCACCCAGAGTGACTCCCACCCATGGCTTTCCCTCCAGTCCAGAATTTTCTCAACTATTACAAGTGTCTCTTGTCATCGCGTCCCCAGAACCTCGGTTCCGGGGATCAAATCCTGGCTCCCAGGAAGTTTTGACAAAGTTTCAGGAGCCACTGGGCAGCCCTGGTCATGCTGGAATAATTACTAAGTGGATAAGCGGGTGTTATCTCCATTTTACAGGTAAGGAAACGGAGGCTGAGAGATGAAGTACACACAGCTATTCTCCCTTTTTTAAAAAAAAGAGGTATATGTTTCTCTTTTTTAAAATATATTTTATTGATTTTTTACAGAGAGGAAGGGAGAGGGATAGAGAGTTAGAAACATCGATGAGAAACATCGATCAGCTGCCTCCTGCACACTCCCCACTGGGGATGTGCCCGCAGCCAAGGTACATGCCCTTGACCAGAATCGAACCTGGGACCCTTCAGCCCCAAGGCTGACGCTCCATCCACTGAGCCAAACCAGTTAGGGCTCCTCCCTTTTTTTAATACCTCATTTCTCCCCAGTATGTGGAATTGGGAGCTACGAGGTTCTGGCTGTTAGGATTCTGATTCTAACATCCTCTGGCATGTGAGAGAGGAAGCTAAGGTTCAGGGGAAGGGGGAGATGTCGGCGCTTCTGAATTCCAAGATTCTAAGCCTTGGCACTCCAGTAAACTGGGTTCCTGGTCCGTGCCAGCTAGTGCAAGTCTGGAGTCGCGGGCACCACCCATAAGCGCCTCCCTCGCCCGTCTGGTCTCCCGTGTCCCACCTGGCGGACCAGCTGGAGGACCGGTTCCTGGCGCCCCCTCTCCATGGCCAGGGGACTGGCACCGGAGGCCTTGGGAGCAGGGGGGTGGGAAGGGGAGCAGGAGAGGACACAGGGATAGTCTGGGGTGACCTAACTCCCACCCCAGGGCAATGGGCTGGGGCAGAGGCGGTGTCGGGGGAAGGCGGGAAGCTGCAGGTCCCGCCCCAGAGGAGACTTCCTGGTGGGCGGATACCCCGGTGAGTCGCAGCCGCCACGGCGGGGGACCCCGGCGCCATGGCGGGCACGCGGGACGCCATCCTGGATGCGCTGGAGGAGCTGACCGCTGATGAGCTCAAGAAGTTCAAGATGAAGCTGCTCTCCGTGCCCCTGCGCGACGGCTACGGGCGCATCCCGCGGGGGGCACTGCTGCCCATGGACGCCGTGGACCTGACCGACAAGCTCGTTAGCTCCTACCTGGAGGCCTACGCCGCCGAGCTCACGGCCCAGGTGCTGCGCGACATGGGCATGCAGGACACCGCGGAGCGGCTGCAGGCCCCGGCCCGGGCCCCGGGTGAGGAGCCC